ATAACGACTAGAAAACATTCATAAGAAATATCATGAAGTCATATCATTTCGTAAAAACCTAATCTCATGTCTGAAATCATATCGTAAAAGTAGTAACAATGTCAGAGTACAATCCCAAGAAATCTCATAATGCTGAATCCAATGTGTGTATGATGTGCAGCTACCCGCCGACTCCTTCCCCTTCGCTGAAGAGGTACCTGAAACAAAACTGAAACTGTAAGCACGAAGCTTAGTGAGTTTCCCCAATCGTACCACATACCATACATCATATAGCATACATACTGCCGAGGGCAATTCTGGGGTGCCCGACCTACCCGGTACGACCATTCTGGGGTGCCGACCTACCCGTGTCAAGCCATTCTGGGGTGCTGACTACCCGTCGGTCCTAACAACCGACCCTCGGGGACTATTCCACCCCTACTGCTACTATCACATATATCATAACATAAACATACTATCAGACATATCTGGGGTGTCCGAACTACCCTTCGGACCTAACAACCGAACTTGGGGACTATTCCCCTCCTACTACCACTATCACATATAACATATCATGCCAGCATATAAACATATCATCACATACTGTCAGACATATCTGGGGTGCCTGACCTACCCTTCGGTCCTAACAACCGAACTCTACTACTATCACATATAACATATCATGCCAGCATACAACATATCAGGTAGTAGCAAACCTAGATGATATCACAAAGACGATCATCTAACATACAACTCCTACTGGTGGGCCGACATTGTGGCCGTAGACCCACCGCTACTGGAAGGTAACTCACCTCGTACGAGTAGCTGCTGAAATCTGTGCGGGAAACCTCTGTCTGCTGCTGCTCCGGAAATCCTCCGGCTATAATCCCCACAAAACACTCAGTCAGAATCTGATATCTACTCTTAGGGTAAAATGACTATTTTACCCCTGACCAAGTCCAAGTCAAAGTCAAAGTCAAAGTCAAAGTCAACTTCCAGTTGACCTGACTCGCCGAGTTGGGCCGCCAACTCGTCGAGTCCCTAACCTTTTAACTGTCCTCATCCACGTCTCTACTCGTCGAGTTTAGAAATGACTCGACGAGTTCTCCTTCTATACGAGCATCGAATGAACCTTCATCCGACTCGTCGAGTTGTATGAACAACTCGTCGAGTTCATCCTCATCCTAAGAACCAGTCCTGTCCTCGACTCGCCGAGTTGTATGAACAACTCGTCGAGTTCATCTTCAAGAGTTGGGAGATTGCCTTGGACTCGCCGAGTCTGTTCATGCACTCGCCGAGTCCTATGAACTCCAGGACTATGGCTTAGCCCAATACGTTGGGTCACTCCCCTGGACCCTCTAAAACCTTTCCAGCACTCCACTGGGTCTCTTTGACCTATAACAGAAAAGGGGAGTCTAACCTCGGACTCGCCGAGTCCCAAGAACGACTCGCCGAGTCGATACTGTCCAAGTCTATTTCCTTCGATTTCTGGCGTACAACTCTTGTCCAAATGATAGATCTAGGTCCCTAAACTCGATCTAGCACGTAAAGTTACGAACTTTACGTGCATGCATGGGACTTTGAGCCTAAAAGGCTCTAAAAGAGACTCTTAAGTTGCATGGGGGCTTCCATGGGTGCAAAAGCAGCCCTTTTCTGCCTTGTAACTCCTTCATGGACCTAGATCTGAAGCCTCAACCCCCAACCATGCTTGCAATCATGGTTGGTCACCAAGAATGGCTTATAAAAGCCCTAAATCTCCCCAAAAAGGGATCTAGGAAATGAAAAAGCAAGGTACCGACTTTATACCTTCTGGGAACTGCAAATGATGCATAAACTTGAACTCCCTTGGTCTTCTCTTTATCCCTCTAGGCCCTTCCTTCTTCCTTGTGATCAAAATCACCAAAAATCACCACAAATGCCTTTAGATCTTCACACACACAGTTAGGGTTTGCTATGGGGGTTTCTGGAAGCAATAGGGACGAAGGGTGGCTGAATGAGATGCTTAAATAGGGTGCAAACCCTTAGATTAGGGTTTTGTCCAGTCAGAGTCTACTCGTCGAGTCTGGAGGCCGAATCGACGAGTTCGTCATTTAAATCTCGTATCCAATTCGCTTCTACTCGACGAGTTGGGCCTTCAACTCGCCGAGTCCCAGGCCAAAAATGCACAATACTTAAATAAAATACATACCAGGAACCAGGTGCTACAAATCTCCCCCACTTATTTTAGACTTCGTCCTCGAAGTCTGCTGCTCGTTCCTGGAACAACTCTGGGTAATGCTCCATCATCTCATCCACCGGCTCCCAAGTCCATTCGGAGCCCTTCCGGTGCTGCCATTGCACCTTCACCAGCTCGACCCTCTTATTCCTCAGATCTTTCGACTTCCGGTCAAGGATCGCCACAGGCCGCTCAATGTAATTCAGGCTGTCATCGACCTGAATATCCTCTAAGGGCACCACTGCTGAGTCGTCCACCTGGCACTTCCGCAACTGGGAGACGTGGAAAGTGTTGTGGATCCGACTGAGTTCGGCTGGCAGATCCAGCCTGTACGCCACCTTGCCCACCCGGGCTAAAACCCTGAACGGTCCAATGTATGTGGGGCCCAACTTGCCCCGCTTCCTGAATCGGATGACGCCCTTCCATGGCGACACCTTTAGGAGGACCATATCCCCGACCTGGAACTCCAGGTCTGATCGGCGCTTGTCGGCATAACTTTTCTGACGACTCTGAGC